TATTTTAAAAAATAAAATCATACTTAACAGAGTGTTCGGCAACTTTCCTTCCTCAACTAATATATCTTAGATATATTTTCATGTCAATCTATATGAATTTTCCAATTCTTTTAACGGCTGCATAGTATCTGTTCTATGAATATACTCTAAGTACAGTATCAATTTATAGGCATTTGGATTGAATACAGTTTTTCACCAATATGGACAAAGCTGCAACGTCTAATTTTGCACATGCCTATCTTTGCACTCTGCTGCTAGTATCTCAGTGAGACATCGTCCCTAAAAAGGAGAACTGCTAATAGGAACCTTCTAAACATTTACAGAGACTGTCATATGTCCCTTAAAAGGACTATCTTGTCACAAGTACATTTTTAATTCAGGTGATTAGGAATTAGAATAAATTCTTTCAAATAATAGAAATGTGTATATTATCTAAACTTAATGACTTCTCTTCAATTTCCAACAAGTCAGGCCAAGGAATATTTTTTTCCTAAGTAATGGGTAATTGTGTTCAGATCAAATAAATACAACCTTTTAAATCTTGGGACAAGTATATTGAAAACAGAATTGAAAATATTTATAACTGATCTATAAGAATGGGAATGAGAAATATGACATCATTGGGAAACATGACATCATTTATCATTTTTCAAAGAGAGAAAAAAACATTAGAACAATTAATAACTAAGGTTCTAGAGTCAGGCAAACTCAACCATTCACTCAACACATATTTATTGAGCATCCACTGTGTGCCACTCTCTGTTCTAGGTGTGGAATATATGGGTGAACAAGACAAAGAAGATCCCTCTGCTCTCATGTACTTTACATTAGAGTCATGGAGATAAAAATAAATTCATTAATTGATAGAATAATTTCAAAACATGATAACCAGATAGAGTATTGTGAGAATTTACTGAGGAGGCAGGTCAGGGTTCCCTCAGACTTGATGGCCAAGCAAGGCCTCTCAGAGGAAGTGACACATGGGATAAGGCCAAAATGACAAGAATGACCTGGCCTGGACAAGACCTGGGGCCGAGAAAGAGCAAATGTCCTAATGTGGAAACAAGCGTGGCCTTTTTAGGGAATGGAAAGGGAGCCAGTGGGCTAGCTACGGCATCTAATGTTGTAACAGAGCATTGGGTGAGGCAATCAGGTAGGATCCTTAGGCCACAGGAGACGTGTTCTTCTATTCCAAGCCATTACTGTATTCGGCATGAGAGTGGCATGATCTACTTTATACATTAAGATACCATTCTGGCTGATATACTGATCACCACTTATTAACTAAGTATCCTTGGACAAGCTACATTACCTTTCTTAGCTTCAGTTTCCTCATTTGTAAAGATGAGATAATAATAGTATGTATTACATGGAGTTGATAGGAGGATTCAATGAGGTAATGAGTGGAAAGCATTTTGCGCACTGCCTAGCACCTAATAATTGTTCACTAAATGATTTCAACTAAATCACTTTTATATCATTAAGACCATACTAAACACAACTGAGCATAATTCACTATCCCCAAGTACAAACCACAAAGACTAAAAATATCCTTTAAAATTAGCCCTGTTTCAGATTCTCTAATATTAAAAGGCTGGATATTTCCATATCGAAAAACACTCAGCACTTTCTTCTTACCTGATCCTGTAATTCAGCCCTGAACTACTGATGTGTACGTGCACACCCCTTATTTTCACACACACTAGATTATACATCTTTGTGTTACTCCCAGAACCCACAATGCTCAATAAATCTTATAAGGAAGGCATGCAGGTAGGTGGAAAAAATGGACTAACAGATATATAGAGGATAAAAATCATGATGACAAGAGAATAGAAGGGAATGTTTTCAATTGAAATATTTAAAAGAATAAAGTCTCTAAGTGATGAGTATATGAAATGTATAACTGGTCATTTCTGGCCATTATTCTATTCGTGCATTTACATAGCACTAGATGTTATGCTGAAACCCTAACAGAAGACACTGCCCGACCATAAGGACGTACTGCCCTCCAATCTTGCTTCATCTCTACTGAAAGTATTTAGCAACACTCTGAGAAACACGAAAGAGGTACTTCTCATATTTACCACAGAACTGAAGAATTATGAGTGATAGAACCAAAATTGTGAAACCTGCTGTGCTTAACTTTCGTGTTTCTCATGCATGCACATCTGTTTGTCAGTCTGATACATGCCATCAAGAAAGTTGATATGTAGAATACCAATTTCTAGGCTTTGACTCAAAGATCCACAATAGTTGTGGAAACATTTGTTCAGTGATCTTGCATCTAAATATGCAAATTGTTTCTACACACTTGACAGTATGTAATGGATGAAAAATGATCTTATATCCAAATATAGAGGGCCATAGAAATTTAAAAAGTTACTGACTTAAATAAAGTTAGTATAAGAATAACTAGAAGCAGAAAATAATATCCTTTACTGGAGACTATTCTGTGATATACAAAGTACTTTTCTATGCATTATCTTATTTTGATCTTCATAACATCTCTCTTAAGAAAACTTGATAGTTTTATGTCTGTGATTTATACATATAAAAAGTAACACACTGAGTATATACTTGGTCCAAGTCTCCAAGTCAGGAAGTAGCAAAACCAGAACTCTAACCCAGACCTTCTTAGTGTTCTTTCTGCCATCCCCAACTAGTTCAACATGCCACAAATCACCAAATTCAATAAAAATAAATGTATCTTTATTACCAAGAGACAGGCGAGCAGCATAAGTTGCAAGTAGCATTAAAATTCTGCCTGGAATATTATAAATCCTTTCAAAAGGACAATCATCTCTTTATATAAACACAATTCTTCCCTGATCATTAAATACTACATATTCCCTAGCTCCAGGTAACAACAAAGCTTTCACCTCTTGAATACATATGTGCCAGATTCTGTCGTATATTCTCCTCACTCACTGACTTGGATTCTTACAACAGTCTTATGAGGTGGTTATTGTCATCATCATCTTTGCCGTCAGTATGTAGATGGGGAAAGGAGGCAGGAAGAGGTTAAGTGTCCTGGCCAATGTGGCTCAGTTGGTTGGGCATCATTCCTTGCACTGAAAGTGCAGTGTTGATTCCTGGTCAGGCCACATGCCCGGGTTGTAAGCTTGATTCCCAGGCAGGGTGTGCAGGAGGCAGCCTGTCTCTGTTTGGCTCTCACATCAATGTTTCTGTCTCTCTCCCTCTCCCTTCCTCTTTCTCTAAAAATCAATAAAAATATATATATATTTTAAATAAAAAGAGGTTAAGTAACTTGCCCATGACCGTTTAGCTAGATACCAGTTCAGTGGCTCTTAACAACAATGTTATGCTGTCTCTTCAAATAGAGGCCTCTTTATCCCATTCCAATCTCTCCCCTATTAGATTCAACCAAGAGAAGGGAAGAACCTCTCATTTAAATTAATGATTCAAACTCCTCATGTGCATGTCTAAGCAATATCAACTTGGAGACCACTGATTACACTTCATCTTCAAAGAGCTGGAGGACCCATATGTAAAGTATCTGACGGAGCACCTGGCACAGCATATGCAGGTGACAATTACTGAGAGTCTACTATATGTCTGGCATTATGCTAAGTGCTTTTCTCTACATATGCACTCCATAAATGTCACCATTATGCTTTTATTTCCTCCTAGAGGATAGGCTAGGTCCAAATCCGTTTCTTTGGAAATTAGGCTGGGCAGTGAAGAAAATGTATTCCCATGAAGGCACAGACTGTCACTTCACTGAGTGTAGAAAGATGTTGTATATGGGTTATAAGGGGCTGCTATTGTTCTGGCCTTGAAGAAACCCAGGTGCATGTAAAAAAGGATGGAAGGGAAGTATCCATGAGAAGACTGAGGTTGTAAGCCAGAACCCCCGCCCCGCCCCCCATCTACAGACTTCCTCTCCAGGAAAAGTAATACTTAAAGCACAAATAAATTTAAAGTTTATATAAGTTCTCTCCCTGAATCCTTTTAAATACTATGCTTTCTTGACATTTTTCAAAGAAAAATAATTTATAAAAGAAACCTGTACTCACACATAACTCCTGGGAAATCCACATATTATGCAAAACAAACTCCACCAGCCTCCCCTGCTAAAACTACAGTTTGATTTCAAAATAATGCTAACTCATTCATTGATTCAACAAGAACTGAGCAAGAGCTATCATGCATACCTGGTATTAAATGAAGTAGATATAAAAACAAAGAACTCAGAGTCTAGTAAGCAAAACTGATCCCATAGAAACTAGCCATTCTTTAAAATAAGGCGATGACTATTTCCAACTTGCCACAGTGGGTTCAAATGACATAGAAATGGTCATATGAAATACTGTGACATTGGCTTGGAAAAAGCCATACCTTTTACAAAAGATTTGTGTATTTGTTTGTGTGTGTGTGTGTGTGTGTGTATCTGTGTGTAGAGACACATACATATATATTACATATGTCTGATAAAAATGTGAGCTATATAGATGTATTTTATATGTATGTTATATATATATACATATACATACTAATATAATATAAAGCAAGTTCCTTTACAAAAATAAACATATTCAGCACCAGGGCACCTCAGAGTAAGACTAGAGATCCAGGATGTCTGCTGAATCTAGTGAATTATCCAAATAGATCCATAGCTTTCCCTCCCTATAGTTCTTCAAATTCCTAGTTGATTAATATATTACATCTAAACAAGAAAGATGCAGAACTACTTATAGTAACAGAGAAGGGAAATGGTGGGAGGCAGTGAATATAAACTGGGCAGAGTTCTGGGTTTCATTGTGCATTCCACAGCCAATATGAATGATATTGACTTTAAGATCATCCGCTCTTTTATATTACTCATACCTCCTTTCCCCTCTATTAGTGAAGAGAACCCAATGGTCTGTGCATTTGCTTGATTCCACTGAGAGGCCTGAACCACCACTTGGAATATCAATCATTCTTTTAAGATTACTCTCTGCTAAAAGCCTGCAGCGACATGATAATGCACTAACCTGTCTCCAGTTAATGGCAAAATAGTGGTCGCTTGAGAAGAAAACACAATGAAAGATACTCTCATGCGAGGGCTGCAAAATAAGAAGAGAGGCAGTTAAAACATGTTTAAAGGAAATAGTGATACAATGCAGATATATAGCTAGGGAGTCTCGTTTAAAAAATCCGTCTCACTGAATAGCCCAGGCTTCTTTTCAATGGAACCCCCTAAGTAGGTACACTAACTCTGCTTAACGTTACTGCACAAGTCATTTTGGATTCAGGCCGTGCTTCTCAGCACTCAAGCACTCCTCCATGACCCTTGGGGCCATTTAGGAAGAGACTTACTAGAAAGATAAATTCTAGGTCCATGAACAATTCTTTTGAGAAACTGCTTGATGTTCTATCCTATCTCCTTAAAGGAGACCAAACCCTGCAGAGAGACTATGGCTAGCAATATCAAGGGCTGGGGAGTAGCCAGTTTGACTTAATTACCACTACATTATGAATTTCATAAAAAGTTATCCTGAATACTGTAGAATACTTAAAGAATGCCATGGGCAATGTGAAAGAGACCAACAAATCCCAATTTTGATTAGTCATCTTCAATTTTCCAAGTCTCAACGATCATATTTCCATAGTCAACAACTGCCCCAGTGAGCTGCATCTTTTAAGCTTTAGGCATTTATACCACAGAATGGTTCCTGTTTCTAAGACACTCTTTGCAACCATTACTCAGATTGGAAACTGAAGGTATGAAGCTAAGACCTACAGACCGCAAGATCAGAATGATGTCCCATGCATATTTTGAAAGTTACTCTCTTCAGTAGTCACTCTTTATTCACTTCCTATGCTGTATCCTTAGTAACGGAGCAACCAAACTTGAGCCAGAAAACTGTGTATTACAGAAATCCAACTTGCAAAGCAGACCAAATAAATAAGAACCTCACTTCTTGAAAATGTAGTACTGAAATGATCCATTGCTCTCAATCAAAATCTATGTGAAAACTCTCTGCACACTCCTGGATTAAATCAGAAAATTTATAAACAACTCTCTTCTGCCTTTGACATTAAAGGACATGGGGCCCTGTTTGTTTTTCTTTCTTAGACAGTTTTACCTCTGACCCTGCCCAGAAATGAGTGTCATACTTGATTTCTGGAGCAGGAGACTGATGATGGAACATGGACAAGCATACATTTTATAGGGATAACTTTACAGCTGCCAACAACTGAAAGGAAGGATTGCCTAGGCCTCTACAGATTGTTGAAGTTACTTGCAACATGACTTTCAAAATGTTTTGATCATCCAAGCCTGTTTTACAGACAACATTTGGGCTAACAAGACTGAAAGAAGCAATATTTAATGATACAGCTCCTTTATGTGTCCTTTCCATTATCTTGATAAACTTGCATTTGCTCATTGCATGTTTTTCTTTAAAAAAAGAAAAATGAAAGGGGAAAAAAGCCTCAAAAGCCTGGGTGTCTGGGGGCTATGTTTAAGTAGGGATGCCACTAATTCCTAGTTACCTCTAAATAAGAGGGTGAGCTGGACTGCATAGTAGTTATGCTTTTTATAGGAGAAGAAACCAGTCTTTCGTAGTAAGGCTTATTGCATATACAGAACAGTTAAATTTTAAACGCACCACACACCCACCCACACATTTTGTAAACACAAGTCATTTCTTTAAACATCCACACAAGTGCCTTTTCTGGTAGTAGGTTATTAACACATGTTCATTTGAAGTTTACCAGCACTTTTTTTTTTTTTTAATGAGGACCTCTACAATGCTAAGAATTGTGTGGAAAGGAAAATATATTGTGGATACTATTAGCATAAACATTTTAATGTGATAAATTATGAGAAAGCATAACTGAAATCCATAACAGATGAAAATTCAAAAAGGAAAAGACATGTGGAATAGTATTTGAAGATGCTTCCCTGGGGCCTGAGCCAAGTTTCTGGGGTCCAGATGACATAAGCCCTCCACAAGTGAAGGTCTGTCCTAATAAGAGCATGTGTGTAATAATGATCCTGAGGCTCTTTCACATCCACATTTCACTGAAGGCTTTTCCTGCAAAAGGTTTCCAAAAACGGGGTGGGTGGATACCCTGCATGTTGGTCTACTTCCCTCAACTTCACACTCCAGTCGCTAGAAAAGTAAAGTGGGAGAAATACCTCACAAATCGCTCTGTAAGTTGCTTGACAAAATCGTAAATTTCAAGCCAGTTATTGGCCACACTCCAAGACCTGAAAGAAAGAAAGAAAGAAAGAAAGAAAGAAAGAAAGAAAGAAAGAAAGAAAGAAAGAAAGAAAGAAAGAAAGAAATAGAACTGATCAGAAAAACAAACATGTACATGGGGCCGCCGCTAGAATCAAAGTAACAACACCAGTCATGAAACTTAGGTGCTGCAAGAACTGAGAAAGTCAGCCCATCTTTGGGGACCACCTGCCTGCTCATAGTTTGGAGCAGGACCCCAGCTCTTTAAAATAAACACAGCCCTCTTCCCAGGACATGCAGACCACTCAGGGTTTGTTAACCCTGGGCGTTTCGTAGGATAAAACCAAGCAAACTTTAGCCAGAGTGACGGGGTGAGGACCGGGAGGCTGACAAACAGTCTGGTGTGGGTTCCAGGGGCACAGAAGGCTACCCCCAGTGGCCGCATTTCCATTTCCCAGAAGGCCCTTGAACTGCAAGCAGGGACTACCCCACTTTCCCAGAGAGTCCTGCACCTCAGGACTGGCTCCTATCACCACCCCCAGCCCGCAACGATCCCAAAGCGCTGGCCCTGTGCCCGGAAAGAGCAACAAGGTAGCCATCCACGGGTTTCTCACTCGCCGCCCCAGGGCGCGCACACATCTTCGCTTCCCGGCCACAACTCACCCCATGGCACCCGCACCACAAGACACCGGACCCCCTTGGCACTCACTTGTCCAGGACAAAGTAGAGGTCAAAGGCGCCTCTGCAGCTGGGCTGCTCCTGGGCGCTCAGCAGCCCCCCGGGACCGCCGAGCGCCAGCAGCCACAGCCCCGGGACCAGCCAGCTCCCCGGACTGCGGGCCAGCGACAGCCGCGCCACCATCCTGCGGGGGAGCCTGCGCCTCCGTCAGCTCCCGGCCCCCTCGGCGGGGCTCCCCGGGACGCGGCGGCGGTGGTAGGAGTCCCCCAGGACCGTGGGGCGGGGGGACGACGAGCTGCGAGGGCGCCGGCGCCTGGAGCTGCGGAGCCCGCTCCCTGACAGCGGGAGGGAGAAGGGGCGGGAGGGAGGTCCACAGAGGACAAAGGGAGACGCTGCAGCCGCAGCCGCCGGAACCCAGGCGAATCCCGGCGGAGAGCAATCAGTCCTTCCCCCGAGGATCCGGAGGGTTTCTGCAGGCGGCCAGGGCCCAGGCGGCAGCGCGCGGAAGAAGTTCCTCCCCGGCCTCCAGACCAGCCTGTGGCTCCCGCCTAGGACCGGACCCCGAGCCCCATTCCGCGGGGTGGCCCGAAGCCCGGCGGCTGCAGTGCGCGGCGGGCAGCCGCCCCCCGGACGCCACGACGGCTGCACAAACTCAGAGCGGAGGTCCCGGTCCTCCGGTTCCTTCCCTTCCTCCGACGGCCCGACTCGCCCGGGAGCTGCAAACTTTCTTCCTTGTGCTCGGCGGCCGGGCGGTCCCCTTTAGGGGAGGAGGCTGAGCGGCCGGGGCGAGTGGCTAGGAGCGGCCACTCCAACCAGAGCCCAGAGCGCAGCGGGGCCAAGTCACCGCTCAGTGTGGGCGGGGCCTGACCCGCAGCCCTCAGCCACACACGCACACTTGTGGGTTCTTGCCGAGTTGAAAATGACTAATGCTTGCCAAATTTGGGGAAGAGGAGGAGTTTAGAAAAGCAAATGTCCTGTAGCAGCTGCACACCCATATACCCTGCAGGCCTGGTCTGTTTCAGCAGCTGGAATCGCTGGGATCGAAAACCAAAGACTAACAATTCCAAGCGGGGCGATAGGCTATTCCGCCCCACCCCGACTCCCACAAGCACACACACTCTTTTTACTTCCCCAACTCTCCACCTAGGAAGGCAACTTCTTCTTTTTCTATTATAAACCTTTGTAGTTTCATCTCGCCAAGCCAAGGAAAGGGGTGTGTGTGTGTGTGTGTGTGTGTGTGGCGGGGGTGGGGGGGTGGAGGGATGGGGGTTTGGGGGTGGATCTTTCTGAATGGAAAATTGTACTTCAAAATATTTTTTTCCCACTGTCATTTACCCCAAGCTCCAAATACTAAGAATTTCATCTTGGGGCAAGCCAGGCTGCCCTTACCAAACTAGTGCAGGAGCTGAAGTTTGCTGCATTCGAATTCTCCGTGTAGGCCAACTACACTCCCCGCCTCCTCCTTTCTCCTTTCCACCACTTCCACCTAAGTCTTCTGCCTTCTCCTGGTTGAAACTGGCTTTTAGAACTTATAATGATTGACAGTAATATGATGTGTCACCTCCTCCTTCGTGTTTTAACTGACGCAAGGCTTTGTGATAAAAAGTTCACAAAGTACTTAATTACATATTGCCTTTTACTGTCTCTCCAGTTTGTTGTCTGTGTATGCAACTTTTCATTGAAGTTATTTTTTATGTACAAACGGATTTGTTTATAAGCATTTTGAGGATAGAAACCAGTCACTTTGACAAAGATTTGCTATCAATTATGTATTAGTACTTAACAGTTAATGCACAGAACAAGGTGACAAGCGCCTACTTTCACCAAGCCTACAGTGTGGTCAAGGAAGAAAAACAGACAAAAATAAGTAAATCATATCCATATTAAAAGGTGGTTTGCAGAGATTTAAAATATTTTAATATAATAGAGAATAACTGACTAGATGACTAACCAAAAGAAGGCAGTTATTCCAGGAGCTGAAAGAGGACACATTCCCAGCTCCTGCAACTCTCCATAGACATTAACTGAGCACATTCAAGAAGCAGAAAGACAATCATGTTGCTGGAGCTGTGTGGGTAAGATGAAGAGAGGTAGGCAGAGGCCACATTAGGTGATGCTTTGTAAACTGTGATAAAGATTTCTGTGATAAAGATTTATATTAGGTGTGATAAGTACCCATTAGATGATTTTATCCCAGAGGGTGGGAGAGGGGATAAAGTAATAAGATCTATGTTTTTCAAAGATTATTTGTGTTGATATGATACAATGAACTTAGAGGAACAAGAATGAAAGGAGGGAGACCAGTTAGGAGATATATCATCCTACAGCAGCTTAACCGAGAAAAAATGAATGGGTAAGAGCTTCAATAAATACAGATGGACCCTGTTTTGCAATATCTGCCACTTGGAGATGGAAATTCTAATACCATCCTCTGGACCCACCACTTCTTAATTGATGGGTTGGGGAAGGTATTGATGGGGCTATGGTAGGCTGGAAGGCAGATATGAGCAGAGCAAGGACAATGGGCCAAGTACAAAAGGTCACTGTGGTGGAAAGCCCTGGGTGCCTAGCAAAGGACAATTGTAAGATGGGATCTCATCCCCAGTGTGACCTTTCTTCCCTAGAGATAGCATCTAGGCCTCAGTTGTATTTCAGCTTTAGGCCCAGAGAAGCAACAAAACCAGGAAAATGGTGAGATTCCGGGGCTGACCTCAGGGCCAGCTGCATTGAATAATGACTATCTATCTGCCTGCGACATGTCCTCATGATGAAGTATTTTAAACTCACATTTATTGGCTTTCTTTTCCCCTAGCTTCTTGACTCTTTGCTCATCTCTGGGACTCCACAAACTGATCTCAGAAACCATCTTGTTTTAGGCCCAAAGTAAAACAGAATACCTTAAAATTTGTTCTTCCTCCAATTCCCAGGCCCTAGTCAAGTCCTCCCACTCAGTTCCTCTTTCCTGACTACAAAGCCAGTAGAGGTGATTGATATACTAAAGTTTGTTACCATTCTTTTGTTTGTTTTGGGTGATTAGTTCAGCCCAGTTCTGGAACTCTTTTCATTGTATTCATTGGCACATATAAGAGTCTCAGCAAAGCAGGGAAGTGGCCTCTCCTGGCACAGACCAATAATTAATCAATAATCATATAATTACCAGAATCACTTTCACCTAATAAAAATCGGTGGAAAATGCATTAGTTACTGGGCAAACAACTGTCCTGATCTGTTCCAGATGAGGGGTGTCCAGGGACAGGGGACTCTCAGTGCTAAAACTGGGCAGTCCCTGGGATAGTCCTTGGTGAAGGAGGCTGTTGGTCTCCGAATTCCCAAACAATAATGAAGGCAGACTTGGGATCTCACCAAGCCAGGAAGAAGGAGCAGTAACAATAGCAACACCTTCTCTTTTCCTCTACCAGGTGAGAGGACTGGGGCACTATAACAGCTAGTCACTAGCCAGGTTAAGGAACTCTGTTTGACTTTCAGTTTTAAATCAAGAATGGGACAGGAAATGTAGATTTTTAAGCAGAGAGACAGAAAATGAAAGGGGATATTAGAGAGGGAAAGCAGAGAGGAAGAGAGAGACGAGGGGCTAGACTGAATTATTTAGATAAATAAATCTAAAATATTTTTTTATCAAATTATCTAGATTTCTGCTGAAGTATTTTGCTTCACAATCCATACAAGTCCCTACTCTTTGAAAATTATTCTTGGTATCAAACCAAACTTCAAATTCAATGTTAGAATTTACCACCTCATTATAAAAAAAATATGCTACTGAATACGAAACCCTTTTTTAAAAAATATATTTTATTGATTTTTTACAGAGAGGAAGGGAGAGGGATAGAGAGTTAGAAAGATCGATGAGAGAGAGAAACATCGATCAGCTGCCTCCTGCACACCCCCTACTGGGGATGTGGCCACAACCAAAGTACATGCCCTTGACCAGAATCGAACTTGGGACCTTTCAGTCCGCAGGCCGACGCTCTATCCACAGAGTTAAACCAGTTACGGCATGAAACCCTTTTAAACCCAGTTGTACAGACTTAGAGTAGCTTGAGGTGGACACCCGATGACTAAAAATGTTCACTAGGCCCTCTGCCACCTGCAGAGCTCCCATGGACTTCTTGTTCAATTTTATTTAATTATTTATTTACTAACTTTATTTAACAAATATTTGATACCTACTATGTACTTAGCAATGTTCTAAGCACATATTGTATATCCACTCCTCTCAGGAATTCACCTCTCCAACACCCTATCATTAATTTATTTCTATGTCTCCCACCCAGACAAATAATAAACAGCAGAGGCAAATAAGCAACAATAATACACATAGGAAAATAAAATAAATGTATCCTTTCTGAGTAAAAAAATCATGTGATCTATATTATTTACAAGTAGATACCTTTGTGTTACATCCGCAGCAACAAACACGACTCTTCTGGAAGGGAAGAACCACACTGGAAGTGAATCATAGTCACATCACATGCAAAGTGATTCATTACACAGCTCCAGTGATTCAGAGGCAGAAAATAAATCCTCAGGACCCATAGGTGACAAAGCTTATTTAAACTTTTATCAGGTACAGTCATGAAAGAGCTAGACTTCCCCAATGTCTGAACTAGTTCCTGAAAGGGAACAAAATGATTCTACCTCAACATTAATATCTCCGTGTATGACAACAGAGGACGTCAACCAATGACAGAATGATTACCAACATCTGCGTTTGGGATTGAATGCGTTTTAAATCCAGTTTCCAGAAACAGACCCGCGACTCGGAGCTTTGCATGCGGGAGGTGTATTGGAGCGTGCTCTCAGGAGCAAGCACTATGACAGGTGTGAGAAGCAGGAATGTTCAGAGGGAAAGTTGAACATGATGAAGTTGCAAAGGAGGCCTCGGCCAACTTCAGGGGTAGCTCCTGGAGTTGAAATGGTCTTTCATAGTTGTCCTGATTTCAGTGACGCAGTGAGGCCAGGGTTTTGTGTCCCCTCCCGGACCATTCATTAAATGTGGCTGCCCCTGTAGAGGGAGCATAACCAGGGACAAGGTAGCTTCCTTTGGCTCAAGGCAATTTTAAGGAGGAACTCAATGGTGAGCTGTCAGCAGCCAAACTCCTGGCTTTGGGGAAGGAGTGCCTTAGTCTCAGTGAAGGAATCCAGGTGATGCAACTATAACATCTAGAACACCTACAAAAATCAAAAAGACACCTGGCAGCTTGTTTGAGGAAAGTCACATCTCACATGCAATGTCAGACCTTAACCAGGTCAGGCTCAGAATGGCATTCTGGAAGGATAAAATCTATAACTGCACTATACACTGAGTGGCCAGATTATTATGACCACCTCACGTTTGTAGGCAAATTAGTTATAATTTTGCATTGAAGTTGCTAGAGGGCCAGATCATTATAAACGTCTGAATAGCACAACATACCTAAGTATTGTTGCTGATCAAGTTCATCCTATCATGTTGATGGCGTATCCAATGGAGATGGCTTCTTCCAACAAGACAATGAACCATGCCACGGTGCTCGTATTGTGCAGGAGTGGTTTCAAGAACATGAGGGAGACTTTACCTTGCTTAGGTGGCCCCCACAATCACCAGATCTCAATCCAATTGAGCATTTGTGGGATGAAGTTAAAAGAGCCATCAGGCAGCTGGTTCCACAACCATCAAATCTCACAGAACTGGACAGTGCTATTCATCAGGCATGGTGTCAGATTCCTCGCATCACCTTTCAACATCTCGTGGAATCAATGCCCAGAATCGCCGCAGTATTGAAGGCAAAAGGTGGCCCAACGAAGTACTGATGGGGTGGTCATAATAATCTGGCCGGTCATAATAATCTCCACTCAGTGTAACTGCATCCTTTCC